CAAGGTTACTAGAATAGTTTAATTAATTCTACTCCATTAACCTTAAATCTAAAGAGAAAACTTCTTTCTGATCTTTCTGATGAATCTTATTACAACGTTGAACTTTCAATACTAGTGTTGTGAATCCGAAAGGATTGATCACAACGCTCTCTGTATATTAACATAGAATTACGTATAAAAAGATGGCTGCAATGAATGATAGCGGGAAAAACCCAGTAAGATTTAAAATATGTATTTATTTGTAATAGTATTAGTAAGAGAAATAAGAATCTTTCAAATGTCGTAAACCTTTCTATTTTAAATTCTATTGTCAAGTATGGGAATTTTTCTATCATAAATTTTAGGGTATAGACGAATTTATAATTACCGGAAACTCCCAAGGGAAAACATAAAAACTTTTAAGTGCCGTGCAGTTAGTCTAGACATTCTGAGAAAAATTTCCTTGTTAAAATAAACTTACGCTTGTAATTGTAATGGTCACTTAGAATAAGATACCGAACGTTTTGGAATATTCTTTACGAAACTAGAGAAAACCCAGAGATCTTTATTTATTCATTTTTATTGTCATAATCTTTTAAGAAGCTTATTTTCCAAAACGTTCGCTAAAAAAGGGATTACTCGAGTACCTAGGGCTAGGTCATAAAAACCAGACATCAAGGCGGGCTGCAAATGACCTGGGAACATCGAGGGTTGTCGTGACGTCATTTCAACATAGTCCCATTTTGCCAACTCGAGAAGGGATGCTAGCCGAAGATGAGAGCTGTAGAGGTGCGCGCAACTACCCTCACTACCCTCTGGGCCTCTCCCACTCCAAAGGTATGAACATCTCAACCAGGGGAGTCGAAAACCAAGAAACAAGAAGAATCTTATCAATAAGCAAGACTTAAGTACGCCAATATTTTCTTTTTCGGAATTATTGTCGGTAATTTTATTTTGTAATTTACTGAATAATAAATAATAGATTTGCGCGCAAGGCAAATCTAAATTAAACTAAAATAATCTGAGTATCTTAAATTTATTATATATATATTGTTTAACTCAATTTATTCGAATTTAAATCTATTCTCCCGCCTTAATCTATTTACTGCGAGTTGAACGCCCTACCGCGTTCCAACGGGCGAATTAAAAGAACTCAATAAATTTACTATAGCCAATTTTGGGCTATACAACAGTGGTGACAGTGCGGTGGAATTCGCCAATTCGCGGTAAAATAGAAGTGAAAATTTTTGAAAACTTTTAAAACAGATTCGAGTACGTAAACTTTTCTTAAATAGACAATTGGTGATATTTTTCCTTTCGGACTGGTGACAATTTGAAACAAGTGATAACAAAACAAAATTTGCAATAAAAAGTGATAAAGTTAAAGAAAGTAAAATTGCAAATAGAACTGTGCAAATCATGGTAAAAACGAGGCTTCAAAAGACACTAATTATCAAGAATAGTAATCACTGCAATTTAAAGCAACTCTCTATCTAAGGTTTTACGCGGTTTCCCTCGGATCGTTGGGTGAATACCAGAGAGTCTAGGTTTATGAGACCGCGATAAGATACAATTACTCTCATTAAACCAATGCTTTACTACAATGGGGATAAAACATCAAACAACATCATCATCAACCGAATTATTGCATCGTCATCAATCGTTATCCAGAGAACTATCCTATCAACTACGCTTGAAGATTCACTGACAAAGGCCAAAAACGAAAACCCGAACACCAGGTAGTAAGTCGAGATAAACCCTAATCTTAAATCTAAGTGACCAATAGATAGATTTGCATTCTCAATTTTGATTTCATATGTATATTTTGTAATCGCGTAATATTTTAATTTAGCGGTCAACGTATAATCGTTACATCTAATCATCGCATTCAAATGACATAATATCAGTGCATTTCAGATATAAATTACTACAAGTATTACTGAAATTGTTCGGAATATTATTTTCGTTACGTAAAATTTTATTTATAATTAATAATTATAATAATTAATGTACAATTTTATTATTAATTTTTTCAAGTGGACCTATTATGGTGTCCGATTAAAGAGTCTAAATGTAATTTATTATAATGTTTTAAATTTATACATCAGCGTAAGATATTGCTATTACCTTGAATTTGATTTTGTACCCATCTATAAAATTAGAGATGATAATTTTCGTACTACTTGTAACACTCAATGAAGCTTACTGATATTTGTTAGTCATAAGAATCCACGTGTCGCCGCGTTACTTCATCTAAAATATTAAGTTATTGAAATGAATTCGTTATTTAAACAAAATAGTTTACGGAAATTTTAATTGGTTACGTTATATGCAAACAATTTAAATAGGTACTAGGAATATTTTTATGTAATAGTTTTGACTTTTCAAATTTTGGCAAAACACTGACGAAATTTTAATAGATAAAATCGAAACAATCCTTTACACAATTCTTATAACAACGAGCACAGAAGAAAAAAATTAATGGCCTGAGATGGTCGAACCAATTTTAAATTACATTTCTTCGCGATTACGGACTTCGAAAACATAATTCTAGATAAACCTCGTATTTTTTGAAATAGGATTCCGGATTTTCAAAAATATCGCGCTTTTCACAGTTTCTTAGTTTCAGGGACAATTAATTCATGATAATTTTTCAGAGAAGTTATAAGTAGATTTAAAAATATCACGTTAGCTGAAATTGTTTACATATCTATTTAATGATGTACGAATTTATAGTTTAAATTTTATTATACGTTGAGTATTAATTAATTTCCTTCAAGGAATACTAAAAATTTTTGTTATTAGCATATTCATATATAAAATATATACTTTGAAAGGTATTTTGATTATTTAGTTCAATATCATCAGATTTTATCTAAAGTCGGCTCTTTTCACGGTTACATATTTATTTATTTTCAATAATAATATATCTATTTCTTCTATAGAAATTTTGGAACAGTATTGAACAGTTTTTTTTTAGTTTTATCACATTGACCATTAAAATTATCGAGCACTGACTTTATAATTGCTCTTTTGCCATTTCAGAAGTCACGAAATTACGTTCAATGCAATTGAAATATTGAAAAATTATTTAACCAAAATCCATTCTTCATTCATAATTTTCGATAGTGACTGCTAGTCGTTGGTTTTGATTAGTTTTTCTATTACCACTCTACTTTCGGACAGAGAAGACCCAGTTTATTTTAAATTATTAAATAAGCGTTCTATAGTTGGTTTCCTATTTTGCTAACAATAATTTTTCCCTAAATGTTCATTGCAAATTCTTGAATTTTGATGAGCCGGCCTATGATTCTGAAAACTGTGGCCAAATTTTTACTCCCATTTGTTTCTGAGAAAAAAAAATTAAAAGTAAAAAGTCTAAAAATCTCATGTTATTTAAATGGGAAATATAACATGATTCCGGCACGGGTTAATGTGAAAATTAAGAGCCCATTTGTGTTGGATATTTTTTTTTAGGTCATAAACTAAAGATTCAGGGGGCGATTGCTAAAAAAAAATCGATTTGGGAAATAACGGACACCCTAATGATATAGTAATGGTTCCTATATTATTATGGGAACTATTCCCATAATGGTATAGGAAGGATTCCTAGAATATTATAGGATTCATTTCTATACCATTATGGGAATCATTCTCAAAATAAAATAAAGATAAAATCTTCGTGCGGAGTGAGTTCGAAATGATTCCTATAATATATACATGGAATAAAAATTGGGGCAGCCACATGATTTTCATGTTGTAGGCAATAATAGTTAAAATAACAATAATAATTGAATAATAATAATCTATATTATTAAGAAAATAAGGAAAATTCTGTGACCAGTGTATTTATGTGATAAAATGGGTTTTTGCTTGCAGTTGTGCCTTTTCAAGGTTTCATATGATTCTCACCAGTAGTCAATTTATTAAAATAAGAATTTAGGCTGCATTCGAAAATGCTCTGTGTCTAGATACATAATGAAGAAATGACCTTGTATCTGGTAAACTATTGACATTTTTGAAGATATAAGCTCATCCCAATGTTACACTCATCAAGAGCTTTCATTTAAGTACCCACATGCATTTTTGATATATTTTTCATATATACATATATATAATATATATAAATATATAAAATATATGAAAAATCGATGTGGGTACTCAAATGAAAAGTCTCGATGAGTGTAATGTCGGGATGAGCTTATACCTTTAAAAATGTCAATAATTCACAAGATACAAGGTCATTTCTTAATTATTGATATTTTTAAAAATATAAGCTCGTGTTGATGTTATACTCATCAAGAGCTTTCATTTGAGTACCCACATGCATTTTTGATATATTTTTCATATATACATATATGTAATATATATAAATATCTAAAATATATGAGAAATTGATGTGGGTGCTCTATTAAAAATTGACTATTATCATAAATTGACTATCGACGAGAATGATATGAAACCTTGAAAAGGCACAAATTCATGTCAAGTCCTTTGCAATTGACACGAAATTTCACTAAAAAATCGATTTCATCATGTGACTATCCAGGAGACAAAATTGTTCTTATTCTCTTAATAATATAAATTATTATTATGATTATTATTTAATCATTATTGTTGTTTTAACTATTATTGCCTGCCACATGAAAATCATGTTGCTGTGGGAGCTCCAATTTTTTTTTTCCATGTTGAATTTAAACCTATATGTTGTGGGAACCATTCCTATACTATTATGGGAATGGTTCCCATAAATTATGGAAACCATTCCTATAATAGTATAGGAATGATTCCTATAGCATTATGGGAACCATTCCCATAATATTATAGGAATAGTTCCCATAATATTATGGGATTAGTTCCCATAATGATATAGGAATAATTTCTATAATAGTATTATGGGAACCATTCACATAATGGTATAGGACTAGTTCCCATAATTTTCTTTCCGTGTAGTTTATCGATGTCGATGACGAATTTTTTTTCTATAAGTTAACATTTCAGTCAAAACTTTCGTTTCCGCGTTAGATGACAATGATTATTCTTATATATTTTGGTTGCATCAATTTTATTGTAGAGTCAAGATGTATTAAAGATGAATAAAAAGAGTGTTTAGTATTCATAATAACTACTACTATACTTACTCCTTTATGACCATATTTCATAAGAATCCAATTGCAGTCTAGTTGTTGGTCAGCTTGGAGATGATACCTTCCATCAGCCCATAATACAGCTTTATTCAAAGTAACTAAAGCTTCTCCAGCACTTCCGTAAAATCCTGTTAAAAATTCCCGTCTCATATCATGGGGTGAAACACTTTCACTCTGAAAAATAGATAAAAATGATTAATATTATCCGATTTAATAACACGGAACAAAATTTTTTTTTTTTATCAATAAATCATGATATTTGTAATTCGTTTCACAAATAAGAATGCGTAATTAGAGATTCTTAAAATCAAAGCAATCTTTATTTATTTATAATTCATAAATTGTTTCATGTCACTATTCATAATTGATTTTATAGTAAGTTATATTAATTTGCTATGCATAATTTGTATTTCAAAAGTTGAGAAATACAAAATATATTTTTTTCTACAGGTTTTTTGAATAATTATAACGTTGAAACATGATGCTCGAATTTGATTTGTTTGGACGCATTCAGCGCAATTTCCAAGTATGAAAATTATATATATTAGATGCTAACAAGCAGTAAGGTCTTAACTAAGGTTTTTTTTTTAAATTTCATTGATAGCATATATTAGAATTTAGACATATTTGTTCGATGATTTTTCAAAAATGTTTGTTGAGGCATAATTGTTTATTAATATTCATTTAAGGTTTTATACTGACAAGTTAAAAAATTTAAAAGTTATTCAAAAAATTACAAAAATCCAAAAAAAGGATTAATCTTGCAGAGGGCATTCTTGAAACTTCCTGCTATATTCGAGATCAAAACGCTTGGAATGGAAAATTTTCAACAAAGTTTTGATTTTTTTGAGCTTAAAAATATAATTTATCTACATATCTTTGGGCTCGAAAAGATTATTTTCTACTTTTAAAATGATTCGACAATAAATTTTGCAGCTATGCAATATTGACATAATTATACTTTTTTAATGAATTAAAATATAAATAAAATCAAATTCAATTAAATTAAGTGTTTATACAAGTGGTCATCCATCTATGTGCTGTCCTTGTTCATTACTGATTAACAAGGTCTGATTGTTGTCGCTATTAAATAAGAAAAATGAGATAATAAAAATTTTTATCAATCAGCAATTCAGCAGAGACTATAAGAAATTCACAATACATTTTTAAGAAGACTAATAGTAATAAAAAGAGTACCTGATGATCATCATTAGATGTGACGATGTAACCATCGAGTGGCTTATCCTGCACCGATGTCATACGAACCATTTCTGATCGTAATTGTCGTAATGTGATTGATGAATCATATCTTCCCGCAGGTTGACTGTCGAAGGCACTTTTAGGGCATCCTGTTCTTTTAGATCCATTGTAATCAAGTGGTGGTTGAGATATACTATATTCATCGTGATCTGACATCAAACCTACAATTAATAATAATAAAAATTTTTTAAGTAGATTGAATATCTAAATAGTATTATTTATACATCTTTTGAATATTTTGATCAAAAAAAGAAATGTCAAAACAAAAAAATATTGGAGGCGCCGGGTATCGATCCCGGTACCTCTCGCATGCTAAGCGAGCGCTCTACCATCTGAGCTACGCCCCCGGTTCGTGGTCCACAGTGAAATAGAGACATATATAAATTGCATGATTGATTTCTGAGAAATGAATATCCTTTTTTTCCTTTTAATTATGTAATTATATGTTTTGTTAGTAAAAACTTGACTTTTATAAAAAATATAAGTTTCGTTCTGTTGTCAATATAAATAATTAGATCATAAATTAGATGATATAATTCGAAATACTATGTTGAATTAAAAAAAAAATTTTTTATATAAATATATACATGTACGTATAAACTGTAAAGTTAAAATCATCAAATTTAATAAAAAAAAAATGACAAAAAATACTGAAATAACAATATGAGCGTCAGCAATGTTGATAATTGGAAAACAAGTCTTAAGAGAATCTAGAGTGCTCGAAATGGCGCTTGAATATTGAGATTTTATATTATTATTAGAGGTGAAAAATTTTTCTTTCCAATTAATTTATCGAGGAAATATAATAATATTGAATTAAGTTAAATTAAAAATTATTTTTCGAATAGTGAAGCTACTACTACCCTTGATTTAAGTTCCAATATATACGCATTGCGTGCACTGAAGACTCAATACTCAGTATATTAAGTGTATTGTTTTTGTTGCTTTATTTTTTATTTTTTATTATCCGTTTCAATCATATTTATTTTCACAATATCTCAGTAGGTACTATCAATTACTTTTTTTTTTTTAGGATATGCAGTTTTTGGAAATATATCGCTTCCTTATCGATGAAATCTCTGGTAAGTTGAATCATAATTAATTTTATCAAATAATCTTTAATACGCCCCGAATCGATAAAATGAACTTACATGAACTTACTTGGTATTTAAAACAATTCATTCATATACCAAGTAAGTTCATTTTTCGACTCGAGACTATATAATGAATTAATATTGAAGTACTTAATTATATTTTATAGATTCAAGAGTATCGAATTGGCCATTGATGTCCTCTCCATTCCCGATCTTGATAATAGTAATAGGATATTTAATAGTTGTTATTGTAATCGGACCATTATACATGAAGAATAGACAACCTTTCTCTTTACACACAGTTATGATTTTTTATAATATTTGCATTGCATTTTCTAGTGGTTCAATATTTTTGGGGGTAATTATATAAAAAAAAAAAAATGTGTAAAAATTATTTTCATGAATTAATAAAGAAATTTTGATTGCAATTAGCTACTTACATCGGGATTTACGACAAAACTATCGTGGCGTTGCGAACCTGTTGATTTTTCCTATGACCAGGAATCAATGAGTGTCAGTATTTTCTTACAATTTATCATTATGGCTCCTCAACCGAAAAATTTCACATTTTGATATAAATAAATGATTTTTGCTTAATTTAGATGGCAAGATGGGTTTGGTGGCTGATGATTCTGAAAATATGTGAATTAGGTGATACAGTCATTTTTACATTACGGAAAAAACATAATCAATCGTCTTGCTTACACATTTATCATCATGCTACAACTGTGTGCCTTGCGTGGATAGCTTGTAAATATGCTCCTGGTACGTATAAATAAAAACAATAGTAAATGATAATTGCTGAATAAAAATTATTTTAAAGGTGGTATGTGGACTTTCATTATGATGCCGAACTGCATTATTCATGTCATTATGTACACCTATTATCTTCTGGCGAGTTTGGGACCAAAATTGCAAAAAAAGCTTGCACCCTGGAAGCCTTGGCTAACAATTTTACAGATGGTAATTTTCTATACTTAAAATTGGGTGACTACGCATTAAGTCGAATTTTTTTCATAGTTCATCATTATATTAAATCCCATATTTTCTCGCAGACACTGAAAAAAACATTAATTTGAATCAAGAGAAAAATTCTTGAATTAAGTAAAATTTACTTGAACCATGAAAAATTCCTTAGTTTAAGAATTTTTCTACTTAAGATGATGACTCTTCAAAATGACTTTCTTGGTTTAAAAATTTCTCTCTTGAATCCAGTTAATTTTTTTTTTTTCAATGTATGATATGAGATAAACGTTTTCAGTCAAAACTCTTAAGAATAATTTCGATGAACGTTACATGTTCATCATTTTATCACGCTGGTCGAAAAAAAAGATAACTCCTTTGATTTTCCACCCCTTTGATGAGCTCAATATTTTAACAGAACGATGTTGCTTTCATAATCATATTTTATCACTCGATCTTTCATATGTTGTGATTCTTTCATAAGGCTTAGACCTAACTATAAAAGCTATTTTTATCCGTTCAATCAAATTTGAGGAAGATCATTTTACTTTAATATCGTGTATCATTCTAAAACTGGGTAAATACATCAAAAAATATACATCAAATTCATAGGAACTTACTAATGGTAAATTTTTTTAACTACCAAATTTTTTCATTATAAAGCTATTGTGCTCTAGTTTCCCTTATCAATATCATAACTCTTTAACTTCCGAATCATAATTTTTTATTAAGTAGAAAAAATCTTTTTGCAAAAAAATTTTTTTTTTGCAGTATAATTGATATTAAAACGAGAACGGTATATTTTACGTTACATGATATAAATAGATCACTTATTCTTATTACATATAAAAAATACAACTTTATTACAATAGAAATTAAAATTTTATAGGATCAAACAAATTTCAAGCGGTAACGCATAAACGTGTAATGCTGTCACCCAAATCATTTTTGATAATTTATTCATGGATTTTAATCAAAAATTTTTTTATCTTACTTCACTTATAGACACAATTTTTGATCATGGCTATTCACACCTCACAGGCGTTACTACCATCTTGTGAGCCAACTCGAAAACCACTTGCTTATATTTATATGTCACAAGTTATTATAAATTTTTATTTATTCCTAAATTTTTATAAGAACACTTATGTAAGAAAAAAATTGATGTAATGGAGTACTTTGAATTGATTACTCAAAAATAACAAAAATAACAATAATAATAATAAGAAATAATACTTTAAAAAAACATTTACTTTTATATTTTTCTTACAAATAAATTTAAGAAAAATTAAATAAAAGCAACATATCTATAATACTTATTTTTCTAATGGTTATCTTTTTGTTAATGTTAATGATAAAAACCTTGTGTCTACCATACATAATTATTATAGTGGTCCAAAAAAAACATTTTTATTTTTTTTTTTCAAGTGCTGCTGTCTCAAAAACTTTTCTAAGGTATAAAAAAAATTCTCTCCAAAGCGCAGCTTGATATCTCAATTCCTCATGAAGCTCAATTAATTGTTATTTTCCCATTTAAATAACACGTAAAAAAATATATGATTAGACAAAATCTTTTTTCATCGGGTTATAACATATATTATACTTATAAGTTTTATAAGGAGTATATTTATAAATAAATTAAATCCCAGGATCCATCACCAATATCCTAGAACCAACGGACGTCCGTTTAAGAACTCTTAAATTCATTAAAGCCATTAATGCAACTCAGTTTATTTAATGTATCGTTAATTTATCAATGTTGTTATAAAGCGACTTTAAATAAATTAATAAAAAAAATAAAATAAATGAATTAAAATAATGCAAAATTCTGTTGTAAGAATGTATGTAATTCTTATACACCATTGGAGTAAAATTTCTTTGAAATTATAACAGTCATATGACGAATGAATTTAAATTAGATAAGTCACGCTAGAATCTAATAGTAGTCATTGATAATATGATTGAGGCCGAGAAACAGTTACCTACAAGTATTATTACATCTTGCTAATAAATAAATTCAATTATTATTAAAATTTTAACATGAAATTAAAAGTTATTGAATCCATTTATTTTCATAAACTTAAATATCAGAATTATTAACATAATCACCATTCCTTCGAACGCGTTAATATATTCGTTACATTATCATGTTTCGTGAAGCTATAGTGTACTAAGATAGTCCTTATTCATTTGACAAGTGTAATTTGCAAGGAACTTCGGGTTCTAATTAGTTGACTATGATTTGTAAAATAACATTGCTTATATATTTATATAAGTTTGTATGTACATGAATACACCTATATCTATCTTTGATCAAGAATGGATTCTTGTTTATTTATAGATTATAATCTGATATTTAAATGAATTATTTTGTAATACGTCCGTATCCAAAGATATTCAAGTGAAGCAGAAATTGATATTGCTTCACAAAATTATCACACAAAGTGAAAAAAAAATTGTTCTACACTGAAAACCTATCAAATTTTCTGTCGAAAAACTTGTTTTCAAGACTATTCGATTTTTTGGACCATATTATTTTAATTTTACTAAAATTTTTTCTAACTAATCTGAATGGAATGATAAAAACAGTGAAATTAAAAAAAAAAATTTTTATTTCACAAATATAAGCACGCTTTGATTATTGATTTCTAATTACTTGATAAATGAAATTAAGAAAAAGTATTGAATACTTTTTTCTTATGTTAATACTTTTTATGATTGGATAAGTTAATTATAATTGTTTATCTGACTTCTTTAAACGACTTATGATATTATAATGTAATCTAAATAAAACAGAAAAAAAAATCAGTTAACTATGGCGTGTACCTTCATTTATCACATTTAAATATTCAAATAAATGTATTGATTGTTGAACCACTTATTCTAATAGATCACAAAAAGTAATTTTTACAAAGATAATTTTTGATAAAACATCACAATTATCACTTGTATATTGTTAATAGTAAGCAATTTAGTTACACCTTTCACTACTTTCAGAAATAGACAACTGTTATCATTTAGTGCATCTTCGAGGTAACTACCCTCAGCAATGGCTTAACTGCAGGGCCGTCAGTTATTGACTAAATACACATACCAGCAAATAAATTTTATGTATTCAACTATAATGTCTTTTTAACGTCATCTTCATTCCATAGTTTGTAAAATTTGAATCAAGTTTTAAGTGTAGAATATACGACTCAACTATAGTATAATTTATGGTGTAGTATTTATGAAAAAAAATCTTTTTTAAATAAAATAATACATCCCTGAATCTCTGTCGAGCTTGGGTTACAAGATATTTTATGTCCAGCGAGATAGATATATGGCTTCTTTGCATGTTAAAATTTGAATCGAAATTAACTCAGCTAGAATTTCCCACTGTCTAATGGACATCAAGTATGTAAATGTATCAAGTATTTATTCGTAATCATATATTGCCATGATCGAAATAATATTCGCAGTATGATTGGGTTTTTAAAGGATCAAATAGGAATTAAAGCTTTGCTATATCCTATATTTTATTATTTTTAACTTTGATCGCTTAGGTATGGAGTTAGCAGGAAGTTGCAGGGATGGCCTTTAGGGTCAACCGTTTTTCTAATTTTTCAACTTCCCGCTAAGAAAATTGAAAATTTTCAAAAATCGGGAAGTAATTGGTTTTACCCCGTTTTACGAAAATCGAGTTTTTATAAGATCTCGACGTTTTGAGGTCCTAGAAATCTTCCCTGACTATTCCCGCGGTAATATCACCATGTCTCTATGTATGTAATCGGTTGATTCGTTCGTGAGATATCGTTGTCGAAAAAAATTGAAAAGAATATTTTTTTCAGAATTTTTATGGAATTCTATAAAATTTTTAGTCTGACCAGTTCGCGCTCTGATATTTTTCAAAGAATTAAAAAAACTGCGTTGAATGCCGTAAACCGCGAGAAAATCGGTTGATTCATTCAAAAGTTATTGCAGCTTGAAAATTCAAAAAATAGTGTTTTATTAAACTTCTATATATCAGACTTTTGAGCTCGAAGAGCTCAAAAAGAAAATGAGTGAAATGTTGAGCGCTTAGGTATGGAGTTAGCAGGAAGTTGCAGGGATGGCCTTTAGGGTCAACTGTTTTCCTAATTTTTTAACTTCCTGCTAAAAAAATTGAAAATTTTCAAAAATTGGGAAATTATTGGTTTTACCCCAATTTTCGAAAATCGAGTTTTCATCAGATCTCCGTTTCGAGGTCCTAGAAAGCAATGTGTGTGTATGTGTGTGTGTGTGTTTTTTTCTTGGGGGGGGGGATCCTTTTTACGGATTCCAGGCATAGCTGTTTGGCCTGGATATGTGGCGACTCGACGCAGCGTCACACTAAAACTCGACGCTAACGCCCCTACACACTAAACCCTGAACCCCTTTTTTCTTCTTTCCTCTAATCCCTCATGGAAACCGCCGTCAGACATTACTTCGTGAAGGGAGGATCTAGCTACTGCCCTTCTGGTGGCTAAGGTGTTATTTTTCCTTCCTTTTAGTTTCTGTCATTCGCTCTTTTTCTTTCAATGGAACGCAGCTTTGTAAGGACTTCTGTGGCAAAAGTGCTTGTAGCGTTCCAAGCAGTTTGGCTCGACAACATTGCCTCTACTATTGTCTCTGGTTGGATTCTCCGGTTCAGGATCCTTTTTAACTCATTTCGCTGAGGATCAAAACGTAGACACACAAAGAAAACGTGCCCTGCGTCCTCAATAACCCCTGGACAAGACGGGCACTCCGGAGAATCGTCGTGCTTAAAGCGGTGCAGGTACTCTCGAAAGCACCCATGTCCTGAAAACATCTGCGTTAGGTAATAGTTGACTTCGTTATGGTTTCGGCTTAGCCAAACATCGATCTTTGGTATGAGGCGGTGTGTACATCTTCCTTTTGCTGCGGCATCCCACTTAAGTTGCCATCGCGAGATGCTGTGCTGCCGTTCTTCTGTTCTAAGTTCTTCAGGGCTCAGTGCAGTTGACCTTTTTCGTTGGTAAAGGGCCCGTCTTTCCTCTGCTAGTACTCTAAGCGATAGGGTTCCGGCAATGACGCACACTGCTTCTTCTGATATTGTGCGGAAGGCACTGGCAACTCTCAGAGCGCTCTGTCTATAAATTGGACCCGCTTTTCTCCATGATTCTTGCGTCTCTAATGCGTCAGCCCAAATGGATATACCATATGTGAGCACGGATGTTACTACTGATGACAGCAGTAGTCTTCTGCTCTGCTTTGGTCCACCAAAGTTAGGCATCAGTCGTGCTAGGCTCGCTCTAACTACTGATGCTTTGGCAGTCACATGTTCGACTTGTTGCTTGAAATTGAGTCGAGCATCAAGCATCACTCCCAGGTACCGAATGTACGGTTGTGATGTGATCTCATGTTCTCCAACTTGTAACTTGATGGTTTCCATCGCTTTCCTGCTGGTAATGAGCACTGCTTCGGTTTTATGTTTAGCTAATTGCAAGTTCACCGTATTCATCCATAAGTTAATCCGTCTAAATGTAATGTCAAAGGCCAGATTTATCTCTTCAAGATGCTTCGCGACAATCACCACGGTAACATCATCTGCATATGCTACTAGTTTCACTTCTGCTGGCAATGCTATTTTCAGGAGACCATCATACATGATGTTCCATAGCAGAGGACTTAGAACTGAGCCCTGTGGTACACCACCAGTAATATCATACTCCTTAGGACCACTTTTTGTGTCGTATTTGAGGACTCTGTTTGTGAAGTAGCTTGCTACCATTCTACGTAAATACCCTGGAACTCGTTTCTCTTCGAGGGCGCGCATTACGTAGTCCCAGTTAGCAGAGTTGAAAGCATTTTTGATGTCTAATGCAGCCACAAAACAATACTTTTTTGTGCCGCGATTCCATCTCTTTCCAGCAATCGCATCCTTAGCTGTGTTGACGACCAGGTTGATTGCATCCAGGGTTGACCGTCCTTTTCGAAAACCAAATTGGTTGTCTGCCAGGAGTGGATCAACTACTGCTTCTATTCTTTAGTGAATTATCCGCTCTAATATCTTGCCCGCCGTGCCTAACATGCAGAGTGGACGGTAAGATGATGGTTCGTCAGGTGGCTTTTTTCCTTTCGGGAGCAGTACAAGTCTTTGCCGCTTCCACCTTTCAGGAAAGACTCCTTCCTTGAGAGACGCATTGTAG